TCATATTACTGATTTGCTGGTAGTCTCAAAACTTTACTCACATACGAAAAATAGTTTACTGTATTTTAAGAATTTCATCTAATTAAATAACTTATACTGAAATTTATAGATCTGCGGACAAGTCTTTATACCAAGACTTGTAAATGAACACGAAACCTCGTTTCCAGTGTAATATTCGGCCTATGTCTTTCTATTTCTATCGTAAAGCGCAAAGTAGTAACATCTCTTTACTCTTACGATGCATACAGATCCTCAGGAATTTTACCTTGTTCTTTATCTTTGTCCTTATTTTTCGTTTGAGATAGTATTTATTAAAAGCATGATTTATAGAGTTAAAAAACTTTGCATAAATATATCAAACACGTATAACTTTATTAGTTGGTCTGAGACTCAATCGAGAGTACATTTTCGAGTACTTATCTTTGACATTATGGACTAGGATTAGTTTGATTCCCTACTAGACACGTTTTTATGCACTCAAGCAATGCAGCTAAGCCACAATGCTTTCTATCTGATACAAAGGACCCTGCTTTGGATCTTGTCGGGCGTGCTTATAATAATTATTTCGGGTCAAAATTGCGTGTATATATAAATAAAAATATAAATAAATATATATAAATAAACACATATACTTTAACTTTTTTCTTTCAGCTTCATTTCCTGTTGCGGAAAAACATAATTTTTCGTCAGATGCTAAACTCAGCACTTCTTCAGGAGCTCTGTCTGGTACACTCTCTTTGGTCACGCCTTGTCATGCCCCTCTCTCCGTTAATCCCCTTAAATCTGATTCCGATTGTGCCGCAATAGGCCACACCGATTTGGGCTCGGGCAACGGTGATGGCACTATTGCGGCATCGATTGCAATTTCTTCCGCGCCAGCTGGCGTTGCTAGTATTATTAGTACTAGCATCAGCAACAATAGTAGCAGCAGCAGCAGTAGTGGCAGTGGCAGCAGCAGTAGCAGTAACAGTGTCAGCAACAATAGCAGTCTGCCTAGCTGCATAAGCACACCGACATCACCCGTTCCAGCCCCTACGAGTCTTTTACCTCCACGTAAGCGCTACAAGGCGGGCGGCGGAGCTGTCTCCACTCAGGAAAATCTATCGATCGGCTTTTTGGTATCCGGGACAAGCAACATCAATCCTAAGGATACCACTTTATTAATATCTCGACTACCGACTGATACAAATACGTCTTCCAAACATATATCTGATTTGGTAACTGATTCGCCAGCAAACAAACTAGCCGCTGAGGGGTTGAGGCGGATGGAGGTTGAAAGTGATTATGAAGAAATTATTGCTGCTGAAGCTGATTCAAGAGCCGACAAAGAGATTAAACACTATAGCAAGTTGAAGCGGCCTGGCGCTGGTATGTATCTAGGCTCAGAAACAGGGCGACAGCTCAAAGGCACATTCACTGCTGAAGAGATTGTATTATCACGTGAAAGTTCAATTGAGAGCTCGCCCGCTCGACAGTTAAGTTCAGGAAAGCGAGGTCGTGGTAAGTGCCCTAATTGCGATATTTCGTTAGTTTTCATTCAAGTATATTAGGGCTCTCAAATAGGCATTATCCTGAAGTTTTTCGTTTGTAAGTAGGGTTCCAAAACTACTGAGAGATCATATATATGAGTTATGTTCACCCTCATTCGTTTAAGATGATGAATGACTGGTAGTTACATTTGTTCACAATTATATGAGTAGATATGACGTTTCTATTAAATTTCGCATAGCTCTTCTTTCCAAAAAGTTATTCTAATCCAGATTGGACGGCAGTTTCCATTTAGCCTAGGTATTATCACCACCACCGGAGTCATACCATGACGATGCAGTGCGTAATCTTGACGCGAGCGCCCTTGGACTACCAGGCAGATGTTAATTTCGAGGAAGGATAGACATTTTCCCATTTCACATTATGTGGTGGGATTGTCGATGAAGCAAAGTTATATTTACTATAACAGTCGATTACAGTACTTATTTTTTGTTTGTAAGCATGATTCCGAGACTACCAGTAAATCAGATTATGAGATGTATTCATCTATTTCGTTCAAAGTCAAGATTGTACGCTGCACTATCATGGTTCGAGTCCCGATGGAGGTGTTATTAAGACCTAGGCAAAGTCGAAACTTTAATCTACCCTAGATGAGAATTCCTTTTGTGAATCAAGGTTATGTAAAATTCAATGGAAATGTTAGGTCTACTCATTGTATTATAGGAAAATTTAACTACCATTCCTTCATCGCCTTAAACTGAATAAAGTGAACAGCATGTATTATGCTATTATGAAAGTTTTCCTTTCGTTTTAGAAGGCGAGTGGAAGAAATTGCTAAATTGGCCTTACCTGATACCGAAGGAGGGTTGTTTTGTATTTGTGACTGTTGGATTGTGCGAAAAAGACCTCGGTTAATCGTCATACGACTTCTATCAATCGGTGATGGGCTTTTATTCGTCATGTGACGGACATCGTCATTGGGGTTAAGGACGATAAGACGAGGTCTTTTTCGCACAAGGCATCTCTTCCTCATCCGGTAAGGCCAATTTACCAATCCCTTCCAGTCGCCTTTTAAAACGAAATGAGAGATAT